AAAAAAAAAAAAAAGAAGGATCAGAGGAGGGGCGCCTGGGTGGCTCAGTCGGTTAAGCATCCAACTTCAGCTCGGGGCATGATCTCTCGGTCCGTGGGTTCGAGCCTCAAGTCGGACTCTGTGCTGACAGCTCAGAGCCTGGAGGCTGTTTCGGATTCTGTGTCTCCCTCTTTCTCTGGCCTTCCCTGCTCATGCTCTCTCTCTCTCAGAAATAAATAAAAAACATTAAAAAAAAGAATCAGAGGAGATGCTAGGATACTTAGATAGCATTTTTATTTTACTTAGCAAATTTTTAAAAATCCAGGAAAAATTCCCAGCTGTAATAATGGAAAAGGGAAACAAAGCAACTCCAGAAGTCAGCGTACCCGTGTGGCTTCTCCTGTCCCAGCCCCGGTCACGCTCCTCTCCATCGGACCCCTAGGGTCCCCTCCTACCCCCCACTGCAGGAGAGACCCGTTTTTCATAGCTTCGATTTCTCTGTCCCTCAATGGAAACAGAAACAAAACTAGTTTTAATAAAATGGGTTATCAGCATCAACCTGGGTGCAGTGGGAAGATTTCAACTCCACTGGCTCTGGTGGCAGTATTAGTACTCTGCCAATCCTCATCAGTGGTTCTTTATTTTGTTTTCTTTTCTATTCTGACATCAACCCTGCAACAGAGGTGGAAGGATCCGCATTTTATACGGGAGGCCCAGAGAGGTTGAGGACTTTCCCACCGCCACACAGCACAGTGGCAAGGCCAGCATCCGGGCTGCAGGTGCCTGGAGCCAGCCTCCCTTTCTATGTACGACCATGCGAGGGGGGCGTGTTCCCGGATAACCAGGATTCAGGGACTAACAGATTCAGCCTGAAACAGGAAAAGGAGAATTAAGATATATTTCATGCTCTCGGCATCAGTCTGTACGTTGACATGGCGTTGAAATTTGTTTTTCGAGGAAACGCTCTATTATGCTGCTGTATAAAGACTTAAGTTCTAAATTCAGCTCAAATAGCAGCACTTCCTTTGAAGAAAATCCCTCGAAGTGCCCACAGCTGCAGACAAGGACCTGTTTGTTGGGGGCTCAGCAAGGCTTCCCACTTCCCAGGCTCAGTCCAGGGCACTCTGGGGTCTGAACTGCCTGCACCTTGTAAAATACTTTCTCTTTTTCTCATCTCAGTTTTGGTTTGGGAGTATTTGACTTTTCTTTTGTATAACTGCATCTCATGTCAAAAGGTTCATGAACGTGCTGCAACGGATGATCAGCAAATCTGGTGAGAATTTTTAAAAACCAGCTTCACTGAGGCATAATTGCCAGGCAATGAACTGCATGTATGTAAAATCTACAATTTAGATCTTGATCTACAGACATACGTGTGAAACCATCAGTACTGTCAATATATATAAACCTCAAATATTTCCTAGTGACTCTTTTGTAGTCTCTTTCTGCCCCCGTGCCCAACCCCCTCCCCCCGCCCCAAGCCACCTCTCATTTGTTTTCACTCTCTTTTTTCTTAAATTAAAAAAAATTTTTAATGTTTATTTATTTTTGAGAGAGAGGGAGAGCCAGAGTGTGACTGGAGGAGGGGGAGGAGAGAGGGAGACACCGAATCTTTAGCAGGCTCCAGGCTCTGAGGTGTCAGTACAGAGCCTGACGCGGGGCTCGAACTCGTGAACCACGAGATCATGACCTGAGCCAAAGTTGGATGCTCAACTGACTGAGCCACTCAGGCGCCCGTCTTTTAGAGAAAAAAAATTTTTAATGTTTATTTATCTTTGAGAGAGAGAGAGAGAAAGTTGGGGAGGGGCAGAGAGAGAGGGAGACACAGAATCCAAAGCAGGCTCC